CCTAAATTACATAAAAAAGATAAATTTTCTTTGCACGACCATTATATTACACGTTAAAATTGCAACCTTCCGTTATTAAAAAAATAAACAATGAACAAAACCGAAAAGTAAACATACAGCACGCGACACATCAAAATATTAAGATGGAAAAGCAAGCAAACTTCGTGATTGATAAACCAGTCTCGTAACCAAAACACATTCCGATCGTAAATAGCAAGCACATATTTCAAAAAACGGCGAAAATGTCTCATAATATGTTAAATAACTTTATTGGGGAATAAACGTTTATAGTTTATCTGAATTTGGTCGAGAAGCAATTGTAGTTTTCTTTTTTATGTTTTTGTATTTCGTACAATTCAAGAAGAGCTAATTTAAATCTTTTTTGTGTTGTGTCCAGTGTCCAGTCACTTGAATTAGTTCTATTGTTGTGCCCAGTTGTATGCGATTTCAGTCCTTTATTAGTCTGTTTAATACAGGTTACTATATATGAAGGAAAATCAAATGTTAAATTGTTAAAAGAAATTCAAAAATAAAAGTGGTACATAAAAATCTTTTTTAGGTTTTAATACTCTAGTTTTTAATGATTTCAAAATGATTGGGAGAGTTAATAATTCGCTACGAAATAAATCTTTACCTGAAACACAAAAGGCTTCTTAATACATGTAAACATATAGAAACTATTCTGAAGTTTAATTGGAAAAACAATCAGAGGAGAAAAATTGGTTAAACAATTTTTCTTCTCAATATTGTGCAATATATTTTATGAAACGACTACAATGAGACAATGGGAGACAATGGGTAAACAAAACTAACAAAGAAACTGATTTGTATATCTAATTTTATAAACGATTGTCGCTAAATGGGCTTGAATGCGAGATGGGCTTGATTGATTTCAGTAATCTTTTTAGTAATACATAAATTTTACAATATTTTACCACGTGACTTATTCGTAAATAATTATGATATAAAACCATATTTGAGAAGGTAATCGGATCCGAAATTTTTTTAAAGTTTATATACTTTTCTACATTATATATTTTCCTTCTTCATAAGAATAGTTTTATTTCGATTTCGCTGTTGCCAAAGCCTTTGTTTTACTATAAACTTCCCTTTCCTGCTTATTAACTTAAAGTTTCTTGATTATATTCGCAGATCTTAAAAATTCGCACCAATCGTCTAACTTTATCCAAGCTTACACTGTTTAATTAACATATTACACTTAAACAAAAATATTTCAACCGATAACTTCATCAAAGGTACAAAGTGATATGTAAATACGCCATTGCATTCTGTATCATTCTTTTAAATGTAACTAAAGATACAAACTAAATTGGTCTCAACTAAAGATATAAAGTATTTCGAATACTAATTAGATATAAAGTTAGTACTTTACATGTAGTCCATTACAACAGTTTTTGGTGTACCATAATTAAGGTCTCGGGGTCGTAGCAGATAGTCTATCGTTTCAGGTATCGGATCATGTATCGCCTGAGCGTGCAACATCGATCCATTGGAGTGACTACAGTTCTTTGTTATGTAGACAAAGGACGTTGCCGTATGGAAGCGTATATACGATATGCTAATTGATTGTATATTAGTCTGTAATATCGTCTTAATAGTCTTACACTTGTTATAAAGGAACTTCCTCTAGGATAATAGTTAACTATGGGGGATGCGTAATTGCACAACTAAAAAATCGCGGGTGGGCAAAGTACTTTGTCTCCATGAGGAAAGTGAGGTGTGCTTTAGAAGTCAAGAGCCATAACTCTTAGCTTACAACTCCTTAAGAATCAAAGAATTTTTGAGATGAGAAAGTTGCCAAACTAAACCTCGGTACTCTATGAAGGTGTTGAAGATCAAATACATAATCTATGTATCTCGAATCTTGTTCTCTCGGAGATCTTTCTCTTCTTCTCTTATGCATTCTCGGTCTCTATTCGAGCAGTTTCTTTGTCCATCTTCCATCCAGTAAGGCTACGTACTCTGCCCAATTTCATTTAAGTTTTGCAATGGGGTAATCACATCAGTAATTAGTAACCTGTTCGTCTTCTTAGATCCTCGTTAGTCATTCGGTCACGAAGCGAAACACCAAGTATTAAGCTCTCAATTTTCTCTGTACAATTTGAAATTTTTTAGAACTTGTTGCAGTCAGTGTCAATTTTCAGCACTATATCTACATCATTAGTGATAATACGCATTGGTTAAATGATTTGTGTTTTAGATAGATTGGCAAGATTCGATGCTGATGTTTTCACTGGGAACTAGGTTCGTCATGATGAGATGTCTTGTTTTGGTTGTGTAGATTTTGAGTTCTACAAGCATATAGTCTTGAACGCGTATATCAACTTTAAATGTGTTAATCTCTTGTTAATCTCAATATGTATGATCTTTTTTCTGCCAATCGAGTTTCTTTACATACAGATTCCAGTATTACGGTAAACAGTTTAGGTAATAACGCATCATCTTATTGTACTCCTTTACTCACTTGGATAGAATCCGTGCTTTTATGTGGTCAACGCTGCATGCTTGAAGTTCGTCCAGAATGGAATAAAACTCTATTGTATCGAATGCTTTATGGAAATCCACAAAAACCATAACAAGTGTACCGGATACTTTGATTATCATGTTGATAATCTATCTATCTAGTTTGATTTCAAGTTTAGTCGTTAGTATTCTTGTGAGTAGATTATGAAAGTGACTGTGAAGACCATCTATTTGGAACACTGTTAGAAACACACATATTAAACATTTCATTTACTACACCATCTTCGCGTGGGGATTTGTTGTTCTTAGTTTTCATATCATATTGTGATATCTGGCTATATTTCAGATCCTCTGATACTATGTTGTTTTCTTCGTTCTGCTAAACAGCAGTTTGTAGAAATCTTCAACTACCTTACTGATCTCATCTTTTTTTGTAATTAACAAGCCATTCTCGTTTTTGACTTTGATTATTTGGCTTGTACTCTTTTCTAATTTTCTTTGTGGTACATTCATACTTTCAGTGTATTGACTATTTACAATAATCTATTGTATTTGTTCTTCATTACATTTTCCAATGTTGTGTCTAATGGTTTTGGATATTTGCTGATTTATTTCACTCATCTCTCTTCGTTTTTGTATCATTTGCTTGGGACTTACTTTATGTTTCTCATTTTCTGATAACTGCCTGCCCTCGTTATTTCTTCGTATTAACCTCTGTCTTAATTATCTCACCCAGTTTAGATTTATTTCCTCATCACTCTTCACCTCATCATCGTGGTCTGTTGTTTGTGCATTGACCTGTATAATTTTGATCTGGTAGTTCGTTCCAGGGATCTGTTGGCATTTCCATTGTGACAGAAACTTTGGATATATGTTTATCAGTTAGGTCCACTATGTCCTGTTTTACGCTTTCTAGTTCGTGTTCCAGTTCGGCAATTCTTTCCTCTCACGTTAGAGCACGTGCATTATATGTTCCGATGTATAGCCCTCTTTGCAGAGCTATTTATTATCTTTGCTAGTTGTTAGTTCCCCCCGGAATGACATAGACTAGTTTTATAATTTATCGATGCAAGATTTCAGAGATAAACCTACTTACCTATTTTTAGCCTTCAAACAGTACGCTGATTGGACGAGTTGGTGAGTTGTGTATTCCAGCCACTCAATCTCAGTTCAGACACTGTTTGTGATTACCTATTCTGGATCAGGTTTTGCTGTGCTAGTTTTGGTCAACCCCGGGTATTTCATCTCCCCGATACCACCTATATCTGGAAGAATTTTCCTATCCGTCACCTGGAGCACCTGATTTGGCACATAGAAATAGGTCACTTTTGTAGCTTTATGCATCTGGAAGCACTGAAATCTTTAGAGAAAAATCGCTGAAACAGCATTTTAATAATATTAATAAAATTATAATAATAATTTAATCTCTTTTATAATTTATATTAACAAATATAACAAATATTGCGTCGTTTATATCAATATTAAAAAGCGAAGGTAAACGCAAGAATAAAACCGAGGTTTATCGCTATGAGGCCATTAGGAAAACTCTAACGAGATAATATATTAGAACCTCGGTTCTGAAACTACTTAGTTTTAACGATTGGTTCATTACTGATTTTACAGCGAAGCCCGTTTTGATTTAAACATCATAAAATAACTTCATCGTAAAGCGAATCGTCGTTTAAAAACTGTATCATTATTTATTGTTGATGAGAAAAGAATTTTTTAAAAGCCGGATGATGATGAAAATTGTAAAAAACTCCATAAAAAAGATTGATATGCAGGTCAGCTAAAAAAGTGCATTGGGTTAAATTGGATTTACGACAGCGTTCGTTATAACTTGGGTGCTTTTTTGTAAGATGGATGAGTGTTTTTCGTGGATATATCAGGTATGAAGTTTATTTCCTACTTAAAATGTTGTTTTTCGTTTGACTTCAAAGACCTAATTATTTTAAAAGGATTCTTTTATTTTTTTTATGACGATGTTGAGGAAGTTTTTTTTGAGAAATAAAATATACAAAAAAAAATAATTATTTTAATGTTATAATTTTAATAGTCGTAATAAAATTTAATGAGACCTGAGCTTAGCCAAGCGGGTTGTTTTTTCAGCCGTTCATTCGATTAAATCGTCGACAATATTTACAAGACTCCTATAAACTGTTATCCCCCCTATCTAAATCGAAATCGCATTATCTAAATACCGCTACACGTTGGGGATTTTTGAGTTTAAAGTTTTCGTTTTCGATCCAATAGAAATAGATTAGAAGCTTAGATGCGCGTGCAGCGTGTTCAAATTTTCAAACTATTTTTATTTCATCTTATTTACTTTATTTGATTAATGAAAAAAATATTCCCCAATTTATTAATTTTGATTTAAAGAAATGTCAGGAAGAACATTTTTGTAACCGGTACCAAATCGGTATCTCACAGATTTAATAATCGCCCGTGTTGTGTTCAGTCTCGCGGCCTGCAGAGTGTCTCTTGCCAAATAGGATATTTTTGTTTCCAAGTACTCGCCTCTAGCGGTGTCGTGCACAGTGCTCAAGTGGTCAGCGCAGTAGGATTTTCGTCAAACGCGCCAATTTGCTCTCTCTCCGCGCCGAAAAGCCACTTTTCTCGAAACTTTCAGCCATGGAAACCTACCTTCATCAAACTAAATCATCAAAAAACCACACATAAAGTGCATCAAAAATGTTTTTTTATTTTAAGTGAAAGTTTTTTTTGTGTACTCATCGAATTCACCAAATTTATTTTTGAAATGGATTAATCTTAATGATAAGATATGGCAGAAAGAATGATAAAAAGGCGTACGAATCGCCTGATACGAAGTGCTTCAGCTGAAAGTTCAGAGGGACCATCAGAACCTAACAATATGGGTAAGTCGATTAAAAGAAAACCGAAGAAACCAAAAGAACGATGGTTGTTAACAAGAAAAACGTGGAGATACATGACTGACGCCGGAAGAAAATTGATTCCGGATGGTGCTCAAAATCGCCCGGAAGATATCCCAAAAATCGAAGCTTATTTTCAAGAAGTTTGTAGAAAAGAAGCAAAATTTTTATTGTGGAGAAAAAATTCTTATCCCGGGGCTTTATCGTTCAAGAAAAAGCGTCGCGAACGTTTAAAAGGTGGAAGTTGTAGAAAAGCAACGTCCGCGGATGAGGTGGACGTGGTAAAACCAGAAAGACCAACGGATTTGGCGATTATGTCCACATCTGGTGGGAGATTTGACATCCATAAAATGAAATACGATTTCTTAAACAAACCATCACCATCAAGTCCACGAACTTTCTTAAAAAATAAAGAAACTTTTCCACCCACCCCCGAAAAAGACTACGACGAGGAACGACTCGAAGAACAAAAACAATTAGCAAAAATGCTCGAGCAATATCTAAATCTCAACGTTCCACCATCAACAGTATCAACAGCTAAATCAGAACCCAGAACGGATCTAAACTACCAAGAACTCGTTGATAAACTCCAAAGACACCTCACATTATCATCCAGAGATATTCGCGTACCTTCACCCAATTCCTCAACAACAAATCTTAGTGGCTCAACTGAAAGGGTGCGTTTCGATGGGGATCACGTCCAAAAAAGTTTATCAGAAACACTCAGTAGATATTACGGTCAGTACTCGAATAGGGATAAATTAATTTCTGATTTATTAACAAATCGCAAAGCTTTAGAAAAATTATATTTCGATTTGAGAAAAACGAAAGGTTTTAGAAGTCGTGTTAAAGACGCAGCTTATTCGGGGCAAAATCAAGCTTGGAGTCCATCGTTATTGAAAGGTTACTCAAATGTTGATGGTGAAGGAATGTCGCCAAAAAGTAGTGCTCCACCTCCATTAATCGAAATTCAAAAACCAACAGTAGAAATAACTTATCAAAATTTTGGAACCCAAACTCTCCCAATAACCGAGAATGAATTATCTAAAGCTGAGGAAGAATATAAAAAAATTATGGCTGAAAGAGAAGAGGAAATTCGAGATTCAAAACATAGTTTTCGAAGAAGAAGTAGTGTTGATAACGATGATATCTCACAATCGGTTAGTGATACCATAAAAAGATATCTACGTATGGCAAGAAAGAAAAGTGTTGATTCAGATAAAGTTGATCGATTTAAAAGGGTCAATTATGATCGTAATTTAAGAAATATCAAAGCTAAAGGAGAAATCACCAAACCCGGCGATGATGATGGTTTAAATAAAGGTTGTCAAACAGTTGAAGAATGGATCGTAAATTATCGCGATTTAAAATTTGATGATTATCCGGTTTCCGAATGCGAATCTCGCGGGTCTAGCTGTCGAAGTAGCATCGATATCGGTGTGATCGTAGATGAAAAAGCTTCTCCGACTTCCGGTCTCATTTCATCCGGCCAATCATTCTTCTCTAATTTATTACACGGTAATAAACACGGTCATGATAAATCTGTTTCTGCAGCGTCTGCGACTAGTGCCATGATGCAGAAGTCAAAGTCCAGTTCGAGCGTTCATCATGGGAAGCAAAGACTTGCCACGAAAATTTTCAAATCACGTTCCAAAAGTCAAACCAGACCGAATGTTACTACATCAACATGGACACCACAGGTAAGATTTATTTTAGTAATTAGATTTTTTTTCCTGCACTGTTTGAGATTACATAGTTTTTTTTTGTAAAAAGCGATGTTAAAAAGCAGAAGATCGTGTTGACTTTGGCCGGTCGTGGAATATTTATTTCCAGTTACCGGCGATATAAATTGCTTTATTTTCAGAATGTGTAAACGGAGATTCACGCTCCGCTCTCGTATCGGCTTTAAATGCGTCGTGTTAATCCAGCGAAAATATCGTGTACGTAAGTGTATGTAAGGGTATCGATAACGTCACAACTCTTGGTTTGGTCACTATTTTCATTCTACTTTAAATGTTTGTTATTGTGTAATATATTCTAAAGATTTGTTTGAAAATTGTTCATTGAGAAAATCTTTCATTCATTATACAATTTCGAAATCATGCATTCGAATTCATGCATACAAGGCATGCATGAGATTTTAGTTAATTTTAGTGAATAACTTTAAAGTTTTTGTTTTTTTTTCATGTGGATCATGAAGAAGCTTTGATTAGTCAACATCTGAATGATGTCTACCTATATATCTTATTAGTGCAGTATGGCAAATTTTAATCAGATTATATCATTATAATAACTTTATGAGATTATGAGAAGAGATGTGGGTATGATTAAGTTGACTTAAAAAATTTTGGTCCCTAAAAAGCTTTGGAAATACGGCGAATGATTTCTTGGTACTAATTCTTTGCTCCTGATTTCACTGTAATTATGATTGATTTTAATTGTGTGTTGCGTTAGAAACACAACAGAGTCGATGATTAATTCCTCAAGAACGTAAGAGTCACTAAGTATCACGAAGAGAATATTTAACTGTGTTGTGGGTTATCGAAAATTTACTTCCTTATCTTGAAGGTTATAGTTTTAACTTCAGAATTAAATTATTTTTATGGAATATCGTAAAGGTTAGGACCACGTTGTGCCAGAGATGTGCCAAATGGTGGAAACTCAAGAGATTTAAAGATCTTGTAACTGATATGTTTTGTCAGTTTCACGTTTCATCTGATAGTGGAGGAATTAGGTACCTTCACACAACACTTTTGCACTTACCAGAAAAATCAGAGACAAATTCAAACTGGGCTTTTACTTTTTAGTTAGTTACTTAGTTGTGACTGTAGACTAAATTGCACTTAATGATTTGATTCCAAATAAAAGAATTTTTGATAAAGTCAGAGATAGTAATTGGGAAATTTCAGCAACTAAGAAGTCTGGCTCATAACGAGTCAAAAACGGGCAGTTAATAAATACATCACTGTGTCTAGATGGACATTTAAAATTTCTTGGCTCTAGTTCTGGTTGCTTATATTTCTCATCTCCTCAAACTATATGATGTCTTCTTTGATGTGGAGACGACAATCATTGATTAGCCAACGGTTTTGGGTCCACTATGTGGATAAATTAAACCGACCAAACCATCAACTGGTTTTTTAATGTGATTTAGCGTTAAAGAGTACGTTGATAATATACAGATTCAAAGATCCCAATTCGGTAAAAAGATTCAAGACTTGCAATTACCCATTAATACACTGTAGCCTCTTTCAATTTGGTGTCGTTATTTATCAATATTTCCAGTCAATTTGTTCCGAATATTATTTATGAAGAGTGTTTTAGGGTTGCTGATGTGTCATCGTTCTGAAGGAAAACTTTTTCAAACTTCTTTTTATTCTATTGGATAATTTGTCTAATTTGCTATTGCTTATTGTTTATTTTATGAACATCATTTGGCTGAACCATTTTTCTAATCGAGAACGAGTTAGTTGGATGAAATTGATACTATTGCTCAGACGGTGCATCTTTAGACACTCAAAGAACTGTTTCTTAAGAATGGCTTATTACAGCCTTTGGAATCTCGTTGTGACCACATTAAGGAATTATCTCCTCAAATCGTGGATTTTTTAGAAATACTCTACTCGCTTTGGTTTCAATAAAATCACAAATGCTTTTTTATGAATAAATCGGTGAAATCGAGGCTCTCTCAACATGCGTGTGTAACGAAAGTGTTTCAAAAACAAAAATATTGGTGTAGAAGGTACTTCAAAGAGCTGTGTTATATTATAAACAACTTGGATTTTGTAGCTTCTATCATGTATAAGTCATACTACGGTTAGACCGCGAGAGAGAAGTGGTTTTATGGGGAATCTCTTTTTCGTAGTACAAAAATAAATAAGAGCTAAACGTACCAGAACTGCAGAAAACTTAAAGGTTATGATCTGGATAATCTGGAAAGTGTAAAAACATACGTTACTATTGTGTAAGTTGGAAGCAGCTATAATGACATGTTGGATTGATTATGTAACAAATTTTGTTATGGAACTTTTGCATATAATTGGGGAATGATGATAAATCTTGCGCCTCTTACAGTTATGATAATTATTTAACTTTCGAATACTTTTGATTTTGTGAAAGCTGTAAAGATGATTAATTTTAGTTTTTGCTATATGCAAGGTTTGAGTTTACAAAATTAAGAGAAGATTTCTTATCCCAACATTTTTTCAGCTATTCTATTAAGATTATATTTTAGATTGGGGTTGTGTACATAATAATTACAATTTGCTAACCTCTCTATTATTATTGGTGGTGTTTATCTCAACATCGGCATCAAAAAACTCATCCAATTTTGAGGCCCGCTCCGTTTTATGTGATTGACTTTCGGAAAAAAATGTTTATTGCCACATTAATTTATTAGGTGTAATAAACGCCTCATATAAAATAATTTCGCCAACAATCCTCGGCGTTGTCCATGAAAATAAAAATACTTATTGTACATCTGAACCTTTTCTCTGAATTATTTCTACAAATACTTTTGTGATGTCTCTATTAAGTTTTAAGTAAGTGTTAATTGTTAATTAGAGCATTTACTCTGGTAATAATTCTATCATAAATAGCTGTGAATTACCGATTTCAATTTCTCCTAGCGATGTTTGTGTCTTCTGTATGTTTTGGTGTCAAGTATCTCCAGTTCTGGCCTTTTCTATAACTTTAGAAATGCCTCAAGGGTACTACCTCCTATTATTATACTACTACCTCCTATAAAAAGCTTTTAAATAAATGCCTGCCGAAAGATAAGAAACAACACAAAGATTGAAAATTATAGACCTATAAGTTTATTATCCCACCTCTAGAGATTACTCACTAGAATTATAACGAATCGTCTTTAGTAAGTAAAGCTAGATGCACATCAACCAGTGTGCAGGCCGGTTTCTGGAAAGGTTTCAGTAAAAAACCAAAGAATTTAATGTCCCTTTTAATGTCACTGACCTTTACGCAGGTCTGGTCATTTCTGGCAGCAGAAGAAGATGTATTCTAGAAGATGCTAGAATAGATTCGCGATATACAGCCATCTTCAAAAATATCTATGAACAAGCGACCTTTCACATCAAAATAGATGAGGATACAAAAACAGAGAAAATTCCCGTTTGTAAAGGCACTATTTCGCCCAAGTTTTGGACTTGGAAATAATGTTTAAACAATTGGATTGAGAAAATATGGCTCTGAATGTGGAGGTGTACACTTGAATCACTTAAGATTCGCATACGATGTGGTACTGGTCACTTCAGACATAGAAGAACTGAAAAACATGTTACAAGATCTAAACGAACACTCAAAGAAAATAGGTCTATAAATGAACCAAAAGAATGAGCAACATGCAAAATAATGTTGCTATTGACAACGTCTACTTGGAGAATGTAAGCCAGTACATATATCGTGGTTACACTATTAAAATTGGCAAAGAAAATCAAACTGCCGAAATAAAGTGATGGATTAAACTGTCGTGGGCAGCATTTGGAAAACTCAGTTTTATACTGAAAACTAAGAAATACCGTGAAGTTGAAAGGAAAGGTGTATGATAGCTGCATACTGCCAGTGACTACGCACGGACTTGAAACTATGACCTTGACAAGGGAAATTGCAGAACAACTTAGTGTAACCTAAAGAGCGATGGAACGAGCAATGCTGGGACTTACTCTGTTAGATAAGATTCGAAATAACCACATGCGCAGAAGAACACCAGTTTGAGATGTATGAGTCGAGTAGCGTGACTTAAGTGGCAATGGATCGAACATGTGGCAAGAGAAGACACAGAAAAATGGACACAAAGAATAACTTTTTGGAGGCCACGAGAAAGTAGAAGAGGTGCAATCCACAAAAGAGGTGGATCAATGATGTGAAAGGTGTGGCGGGGAAAGAATGGATAAGAACAGCAAAACACAGAAATTAATGGAGATATTTGTGAGAGTGTGAGAATTAATCCTGTCAATACATATGTAACCCACCAGATATCTCATAATATCGAGAAATATCTTCATGTTTACGTATTCCGTATAAAAAAACTAAAGAAGTTAATTTGTAATTTTGGAATCAATATTCATCACTATTAAGTATTTAGGGCCCGCCTACGTATTAGGATGAGTAAATATTGAGATAATCAAAGTAAATTCAGCTTAATATCTATCAGAAAAGTGTGGGGAAAGAACTATTTAAGGATTCCAAAGGCGTCTCGAAGGCAATCCATCCGGTAACAAGCCCCTATCCAGTCTCAGACTCAAAGTATTTAAGGTATTACAAACCGTCAATTTTTTTTCTGTAGCACGATTCCTGCCTACAAGTTATAAGTCCCAATTTAATTCTTTCCACTCGCAATAATTCCATTAAATTATTTATCTCTTTCTTAAGAACATCAAAAGTGGTTTGCTGACGTTTCAAATCTCCAAAAGAAAATGTTTGGAAATTACAACTACTTGAAACTTTCATTGAAGTTTTAAGATGATATATGAATGAGAACTTAGACTCTAAATTATTCCCCTTAATTTATTTTTAATTTAAATTTAGCACGTATTTAAATTGGGTCTCTTCGAGTTAAAGTAATTTATAAGATGTCTCGGTGTAATCGAATGCATTTCTCTGGTTGTCAACACATAATTCACCGTGGTAATTCCAGAAATGTTAACCGGAAATGATTCCACTTGATTTTCTAAGACGATGTATT